GTAACGAATTAAGTGCCCAAAGCTTGTGCCATATCATATTATATTAATCATGCATATCCCAAAGCTGACATTTATTCACTCTCGTCCTTTTGCATGTTCTAAGCCAATTTGTTCGTACATCATATCCAAAATTACTAACTCGAGAACAAGAGAGGATTTATGGAGCAATATCTGAATTGGATAAAAGAATAAAGTTGCTATGGTAAACAATTGTTGCGGAAGATAGGGACTCGGAAAACTCAGATGAATAGCAACTGTGTATCGATTTAACAACAACGTCTACTTCTATTATACGAAAATATTAATCACAAACTGTAACAAAAAACATGATGCGAATTTATTTTTCTAATTACCCCAAGAATTAAAAAAATACAGAATACGAATTTTTTTAATAAACATTAATTTTCAGCTTTACACGTTGAGGAAATTGTATTATCTTTCCTATCCTAAGCTGTCTACAACACGCCTACCTTTTAAATACGTAGAGGATGTAAATAATCTGCTCTTAAAATTCATTTTCGCTCTAATAGAAATTAATTTTTAAGTAGGCGGAGAGCTTTAGGTATACTTAATTCGAATTTCAAACGCGCCTCCATTTCCACAAGTAATCCAAAACCAAATACGGCCGTGAACCCCAAAATAAAAATTCTGAAAGCATAAATGAAATGAGAACGGCGCAACCATACAATAATAGCTCACTCTTCAATAGGAAAATTTCATCAAAGAAATATGTTTGGATCTATTTTGTTAGTCGCAGCCTCGTTCATCGCTCATCGCACAAAAAATGTCGACATCGTCGACCCAACAACGTGAATATAAGGGGTGTTGAATCGCCAATTTACTCGAAGAATCAGTAACTGAAACACCAAACCTAGTTTCGACTAGTTTCGACCGATGGTCATCTTCTGGTTATAAAATCTATTACACTAGTATGGGCACAGATAAATTTATCTGTGGTATGGGGAAGGTTTGGTGTTACAGTTACCGATTCTTCAAGTTGACGTCAACCCCATTTTGAGTTCACATCATGGATATCTCCGTTTCGCCATTTTACTTCTTGGATCGAATGGATTCTTTCCTGGATTTTAATGAATCACAAGGTCGACCTGTTTCCAGCATGTAATTCAACACCAACCAGATCTTGTCACAAGTAATATTTGATTGGTGGAATGTTCTTGAGACCTTGACTTCTTTTAAAGTTAGACCATTGAGTAATTAAATATCTTCACTCAACGGTTAGACATTTTTCTTCCACATACTTCAAAAGAAGACAATCGCAAATAATCGGTTCTTCGGCGTTTCGGTTATATGTTGAGACGTGCGACGGTTATTGGATAAAATGCACATTTTATGCCTAAGAGAAGACAGGAACAAATAAAACATATCACACACACAAGAAGGAGATACAAGGAAAACCTTTTATGAGAGAAAACCTAGCATAACCCACACAAATACAAGAAATAAATCGGCTACGACAGCAAAATGTAAAAGAGAAAAATATAAAAATCAAACATCTCAAATCCGGTAATAAAAATCAGCTATCTGTCAGATGCAATAAATCAATAAGAACGAAACACAAGAGACATCATAAATACAAGTGGAAAACACGATAAGTCAAATCAAGTACAAAACACATATAAGTACTATCAATTTACGCAAACGTACAATGGGAAATTACATGTACAGGGTGGTTCAAATTCGTGGCTCACCATTGGGATCTCCGCCTATAGAAGGTGTTTACGGCAACCGTCCACTTACGACCTTTTAAGCTAAGGAAAATGAATACGACATTTTCAGTTTTTCGGTGATATTTCAAAGATTTTTCAAAAATTTTAAGCGTTTTTTTTAGTCACAAAAAAAGGGATAACTTTGCCTCCATTTAAGCTACACTGTATCTCCCACCGTTACGGAGATCCCAATTGCGGGCCACAAACTTCAACCACTCTGTACAGTTAAAAATCTCAAATTGGCGTGCCTACTCCACCCTCTGCTACTATAATTTAACACGAAAGTACATGTGAGAGTGCCAGTAGTGAGTATTCGTGTTAAAGTCTATTATTGGCCCAAGCAAAATCACATTAAGTAATAGAAGAAAGGCGAATTAGAGGACCCCCTTCTCGTATTGCTAAGACGCCAGAGTTAAGGTCCGTAGGAGAAAGAAAGTAACAGACACATAGAAGAATAGAACTGTATTAGGTACTTTCTTCACGCAATAGTTAAGTCGAATCATGACACTGATAAACTTCCTCGTGAATAGATAAATAAATACTTAACGAAACAATATAAAGCATAATCACCTGTATTATAGTATAACAAACAGATGATTCAGTAACGGTTTAGCTTGAAGTACGTCACGCTTCAATATCAGTGTTTTATGCAAAATGTAAACAATAACAAATTGTGACATGAAATTCAATGGTTAATAGTACAAGAAAGAATATATAGATTATTATTTGTAAATACACTTTTCAAACAAAACTACAAAATAAACGCTTGATACGCCATTACTTAAACTCGACTCGGATTCTAATACCGTAAACGGACGCTAACTTCGCCAACCTTCGTTGCGTAAAGTCCTTGTTCCCCTTAATCTGAGCAGGACGGATAAAGTCGGAAGATTTCATAGTTTTTATATATACAAAGCGTTTCGTATTTTTGACCCACACTGATGCGATTGTTTGATATGGAAGGTGTGTTGCCTAACCATAGGGGTATGCTACCACAATATTGAACTTGTCCACTTCCACAACATATCTTAAATTCTTTCGTTTGCAATCGCCCTCATTCAGAGACTTGCTATAACTAGACTGCGCTTAACGTATCTAAGGTGTTGTCGACACAGTATGCAACACACAATGCACCGCGGGGCAAAAATCGCAGAGATGATGTGTAATATAATGAAATAAGCTGTTATTTTAGATGTTCCGTTCATTAATCATTCTCGTGATTACCTCGAATTAGTAAACAGATAAATTTCTGTTGAGAATAAACCAATAAACTTAGGTTAACTCGTACGTATCAACATGTACTCTGTCTATAAAATTTTAAGTAATATGTAGATTTTCAACGGATAAAAGTTTAAAGGGCCAATGGATCGGAGCCATTCGAAGAGAAAATTTACTCCCACCATAGTGAATTTGCGGGAAATGAAGCCGATTTTAGAAAGGTACCGACGAAGGTGTTAAACAATAATGCAATACCGAACGTTTTCGACTTTCCCATTCCCTTAAGATAACGTAGAACGACATCCCTTACCAGTAAGACAACGGCAGTACCTATTTGCCTATTAGGTATAGACGTACCTAAGTACTTACTGGTACTAAGTATATTTCAGGTTTTGTTACAAGAAAAATAGCTAAGTCTGTTAAATGTTCCATATGTGCAGATGCGATATTCGCATCAGAGTCATTCAAAGCTTTTAACTAGAAAAATTCGTGGAGGATTGTTGCACCATTGAATAAATTATTCAATGGTTGCACGTATCAAGCGATGCATTAAAAATTTGCCAAATTGCTGAAAAGTGTTTAGGTTTTTCATTCAATCCACACCACACCGCGTTGTAAACAAAATGGTTATCAGCTGTCTAAGAAAAATAAATAACAGTTACAGCCCATTTGGGTTTTTGGATAGGCATATATTGAATCAAAATCCGCTAAATAATCATATCTCACTACTTACATCTTTGGTTTTAAGAGTATATTTTCCCATACGTGTTCACCACCAAAATACACATATAAATCGAATTAGGACTAGAGTAACTAGTAAGGCAGTTATATAGCAATTTAGTTCAAATAAAATACCAATAAATTCGATTAAAACAGTTAACAGTTATATTTTATCTTTTTTTGCTACTAAAATTTAGAATAAACATATGCTAAAGCAAGCTGCAGAACGTACGTCTGCCCCGCGATGAACAGTCGGTTGCCTATCCTATCTTGACAACAGGCGTTTATAGTAAAATCTACGTTACGCGCGGTCTAGTTATAGCAAGTCTCTGCCCTCATTAATCAAACTGCAAATTCATGAAGAAAGGTATCACTTTCAAAACTAGCTGTACAAATAACTATTATGTTTCCTTCAAGCGATTCTTGGTTCGTTGTTATCTTGTCTTCATTACGTGACAATCGCTCTCGTACTACTTCGACACATATCCTCGCACATATCTCAGCTATGTAATAAACAAACTACATGGAGAAGACAGGCGCTTACCATTCTGTTAATTTCCTGATCCGCTGCATTCGAGCTCCTCAAGTTGATCCCAAGTCCTTGTTCTCAGATTTTGCTCAAGTTCATTTCAAAGTAAACTCAGGTTGAACAATTTTACCCTTCATCCACCTACCCTCGATTTGAATAGGTATCTCGCACTTGGTGCCATTAAAAAACGATATCGTTACTTGAAGACATTTAAAAGTTAAAACCTGGTCCCGGGGCCGTGAACTTGAAACTAATGGAAAAATACCTATGACCCTTAAACGAAAAATAATTTTTCCATATCTAATAAATACTTCTGGAAAAAATGTCGGTAGGTCATTAACATAACCCCAAATACATGTATTACACGTTCTGCGTTTCTAATGCATTTTATGCAAATTTACTATTAACCCTATCAGTAGGTATGTATCATGTGAGGTATGTAGATTTTTATATTTTTACTCTAATTTGCATAATTATGGGTGCCTAAATGGCTGTTTTATGCTTGATATCACAAGTTACGTTTAACTTTATACGTACATACATCGCCTGTATTACCTACGCCTTATCGATTTCTGATGTGCTTAATTAACGCTGCGATAGCAACGTTTCCAAGTAGAAAATCCATAGTTGGATTCCAGTCATTAGTAATGAACGTTAAATTAGCAAAGTTTTGGAACTGATTTCGAATATTATTTCAAATTTAATCTCACTCCGTTTTCTGCGTTGTATGTCTATTACAATTACATCATAACCGTTAACGTTAGGAGTTAAATGCCTATCACGAAAATTTATATACTACCATAGTGCAACGAATCTACACAATGATACTACAGACGAGCATGAGGAACATTCCAAATATCGGCGGGTAATGATACCCACCTCTCCAGGCGTGATTCCTAGCAGCTTCGGTTGCCTCGTTACTCTGCCGATCAGATGTTAGGTAAGAAAACTCAACCTTGTTTCAATACATATAATAAATAAGCAAATAGGTAGCTAAAATCAGATGCTGCATGGGTACATAACCAACAACAAAGCAAAACTGCGGCAACAATAAAATATTCGTTAACCGGTAAGTATATAAGATTATAACAATAATAAACAGACAACGTACCTACTGTACAGATCACATAGGCGTGCTGATATGCTTGATAAGTATGGCCATACCCTTAACAAAAGTACTTACGGGTTTGAACTTACAGGGAGTAATGTAGTCGCAGTCGAGCTTGCCTTGGTAAGTTATTTGAGTATTTTATTTATCCTATTGAAGTAGCTTCTGAGACGGTTGTACAGTTCCAGATGGCCATTCAGCCCACTAGATGGCGTGGACCAGGCGACACCACTTCCTAATACGGGGTGACGATAAAAGCTGGTAGGCGGTGTACAATTAACACCCACCAATCGCAGGTAAACAATCTTCAACAATCACAGCCAAGCCAAACATATGCATTCCATTTACCGATTCCCAGTTTGAAGGTAATTTATTAAATTAGACAAATAATACAAAAAAAAACCCTAAAAGGTCAAAAGAATAAGTCTTTGGAATTTCAAAGCCTCAAGCCGTACCTGTACAATTTTCGGAAATATCCCTACGTTGAACAATTTCAACCAATAAGCAGTGCAATACACGTACAGGGTTTTTTCCCAATCCAGTCAGCCTTAAAAGAACGAACATCGTTACCAATCTACAATGTGTACAAAATGGCGCTTACCTCAGAACGTTAAGCGATAACAAAACCACACTAAAGGTGAAGAATTGCCCAAAATAAACGTATCCACAATGATACACGGCAATACCAAGTACTATCGCTTTTCGTAATTAACCCAGAAGACTGGAGTACTGACAAATTTCCAATAATTAAGGATTTAACGATTTCCTCAAACATGGGAGTGCCACAACGGTCGGTGATCAAAAAGGAAGGATTTTCAACGTTATTATCGGTTTTGAAGATACCGGCTCTGACCTAAAGACCTCCAAAAATTCCTCAGATAAACCAACATAGACGTTCCCTACATTGACAAACATGGCAGGCCGCTTACAGCCCTTAAATTGATGACTGGATCCTATAATAAGTAACCTACTAACCTAGCAAAACAGTTGCTTGCGTAAAAACAGTAGCAAACGGGAACAAATGATTAACAACGAAATTCCTAATGTCTCCGCCACTGGAGATCAATAACTACAATCTACATTCACAAGTATACTATTCTCCGCTACATGCATGTATAACAAAACCTCTAACCGTACTTCATTATGTACAATTATATTTTTCTATTTGTGGGACTAGTTCAAAAATTTAACCGTTACATGCCACATTTAAAGTGTTCTATTTAAAAAAATAACGTCGCCGTCATACTTGAGACATCCTGTACTTACATATAAAAATTATAATACAAAAAAATTGCATGAACTACCAAAATACCTGTTATGTATTTTGTAGTAAAGAAATAATGTGGCGGTGGTATATTCAAAACTTAATTTGGGTAGATATATGACAATAACATTTGGGAACGTTGTGCGCAGATAAAATGCCAATTTGAATATCCCAGCAAGATCAAAATCGAAACGTTACCTGAGTTATATTTTGTAAATCAATAAATAATGTCAAATGCAGGTACTAGCTGATCCTCTGCTTAATTTATGATGCAAACGTTATAGGTTACAATGTAAACAGTATTATAAACAATTCAATGTATGTAGTTTCGAAATATAAATGAAAAACAGCTTTCTAAACTTTAATATACAAATTGAATGGATATTCTAATACAAAATTCAACTATAAATTAAAGTCTTACGCGCAATGATATAAACGATTGTTCAGAGAAACGCAAGTAGTTGTGAAAAGCGGGCCAATAATCAACGATTTTTCAGGACAAATCATGCATTAATTTAATAAGTCTATAAATAAACAATTGACGGAAAAATTACATTACCTGACTTCCCAGTAATGTGTCATTTTCCCGACCTTCAGGTAAATAACTATTTTTGACATCGTTCCTTTTAAAAGCATTCATTTTGAAAGATTTAAGGAAAGGAAAGGCAATTTAATCAAATTATAATGGCGCAAAATAAATTTGTACACATAATAAAGGTTCCATGTTAATTTGTACTTTAATAAGTAAACATTATGGTTAACGACACACGCGAATTCGAAATAAACCGACAATTGTTGGAGTAAACAAGCAGCCAGCTTTTACTGACCCAGCAAAAGAAGTTTTACAATTTGAACGCTTCTTAAGGGTTCAAATAAGCGATGTACTTATGAATATATTTACTATAAGTTTAAAAAAAGAGTTCATGAGCGCGTAAACGTAAAAGAAATATCCGGATGTGGCTAACGATCGTTCACAAAGGTTTTTCCACGAACCTCGCCCTGAATAAACAGAAAAAGTTTATCTCTACTTCAAGTTAGATTAACAATGTCTCAACTTGACGGCCTTCTCACAAGGATTATCGACATTTTTTTTCTAAAAATAGATTACTCTTTCTCAGGACCCAACTTTTCTCAAACAAGGCAGTTAATTATTTAAAAAAATGCGTGAGGTATTTTTGGCGCGTGAAAACACGGTTCTCCCGCTGTGTGTAAACGTGTCAACAGAGTGTCTACATCTTTCATTTATATTGACTTGGAAAAGTTGCTTAAAGGACGGCATTAAAACTTTGGTAAAACCGCGCCTGTGTTTAACTTTATGATTTTTTTTTTTTTTTTATTAGATATGCACAAAAGTACACGCATTTTTAACAACGAGGTCATATATGCAATGCAAAAACATTAAGTACTGAATGTGAAAATTAAATACATTTAAAAGTAATTGTCTGTTTTATAAAATCTAATATTTTGTCAACTTCACTTTCACTATCGCCCAGCGCTAACTCTATTCTTTCCGGGATTCTTAGATTATTTCTAACTTGTTCGTATTCTCGGCACTCTATCACAATGTGATTAACAGTCTTTGGAACATTACAAAATTCACAAATGGGTTGATTCGTTTTGTTCAGTAGGTAATCATGAGTTATTTTAGTATGGCCTATTCGTAGTCTTGTAATTACGATTTCTTCCTGTCTGTTCGCTCTAGATGATGATTTCCAGTGTTTTGTTGAAGGTTTTATACATCTTAATTTGTTGTTTGTTATACTGCTCCATTCAGTGTTCCAAGTTTCCAATATTTCCTTTTTAAAGTTGTTGGCTACATCTTCTGATGTTATTCTATTTAGGGTTGTGGATGTTCCTGTAGCGCTTTTCGCTGCACTGTCCGCGATTTCATTGCCTTCAATTCCAACGTGTGCCGGTATCCACAAGAAGACAACAGTCTTTTTTTGGGCTATTAGTTCTTGTAGGCTTGATAGTATTGCTTGTGTTATCGGGTGGTATGAATATCTATTTTGAATGCTTTGTAGAGAGCTTTTAGAATCCGTGGAGATAAGGTAATGGTTTCCAGGATAGTGTATTAGAGATTTTAGGCATTGATCGATAGCCATTAGTTCAGCGTTCATTATACTTGACTTATTACTTAGCAGGTAGGTTGTCGTTTGATTATCAATTACATGAGCACAACTTGTTTTTCCGGCTGTTTTAGATCCATCTGTGTAGCATTTAATAAAGTTGCGGTAATCTTTGTTTATTTTTTCTTTGAAGTTTTGTTTGTGTTCAGTTGTGGTTGTCTCTGCCTTGGCTGATTTTGAAAGGCTGAAGTCAATTACTGGTTTTGATATGAGCCATGGGGGTATGTTTATAGGTGTATGAGGTAATGATCTAATGAGTGTAGTGGGGATTTGGCAGGTTCTCATAATCTGGGATAAGCGGGTGGAAACCGATGTTATTGTTTTGATATTGATGTTTGAGGAATACATTAAGGCATCGTTTATGATAGAATTTGTAGGGTTTGAGGGATTTGCAGCTATTTTACTTATATAGTTAGTAAGGAGTATTTTTCTTCTTACTGATAAAGGTGGCTCCCCTGAATCGATGTAAATACTTATGATAGGGCTAGTTCTAAAAGCTCCGATGGCAATGCGTAAACATGTGTTGTGTATTACATCAAGTTTTTTTAAGTGCACATTTTTTTTCGCTGGATACAAAATAGAGCCATAATCCAGCTTTGATCGTACTAGAGTTCTATATAAATTCAAAAGTGTAGCTCTGTCTGATCCCCAATTTTTGTTTGCAACTGTTTTAATTAGATTTATAGAGTTAGTTGCATTTGTTTTTTATTTTGTTGATATGTGGAACCCAATTTAGCTTCTGATCAAAGGTTATCCCAAGAAAGTTAACCGATGTTTCGAATTTTAATTGAACGTTGTTAATATGGAGTTTTGGAGTATATTGTGGGTTTCTTCGTTTGTGAAAATCTACGCATATTGTTTTCTTTGGTGATAGAGTAAATCCATTTTCAGTTACCGCATTAGCTATGAAAACTTGATTATTCGTAGCGCACCGGAATAGTTATTTTTAGACGACTTGATTCGAAAATGACACATATCAATATTGTAGCCTACCTTAGAAAGTTAACAATTGAACATACTGATGTGGATATGAAATTTATCATGCACGGTGCGTGATAAGAGTTAGTGAGGTTGTTTTCATAAGTCAGCTAGAAATTCAGTTTGATAGAAGCTTTACTGGATTGTCAAATAATAATCAATTACATATAAATTGATTTCGGTTCATTATGCAAATTGAAGGACACAATTCGCCAAAATACGCCAGCAAAACGTTTTCCGAAAATGACGATTTCACTTGGGATATCTTGCGTCATTCCATAAATTTGGTGTATGCATCTTCGTAACGCAGTCGCGATTTCGTTTGGAGCAACACCAAAGTATTCTCGCTGGCCGCTTCAACTACTGATGGTGGTGTGAGTTGTAAACATCGTCTTCTTTATCGCTCTCCATTTTACGCACCACTTAAAATTCGTTTTAGTAATAATCGCTGCACTGTATGACAGAACTAGCAAAACAAAACAATTAGCAATCCATAGCAACCCGCGGTCGTACCCAACCAACACAGTAAAATTTAAAAAAATGGCGTAACATATTCTTGAAATATTAGGGATACTAGTGAAAGCTTTTATTGTTCAAGTCGTCTAAAAAATAGTGTTCACAACTCGTGTTGAAAGTGACTATCATGCTCATGCTTATTAGCCAAACTCGGCTTCGCCTCGTTTGTCTAACGGCACTCGCATGATATCAGTCACTTTCGACACTCATTATGAAATATACTATTACCTAACAAGTTCGGTAAGTTAATTTTCCCGCATGAGCACTTTGTTTGCAGCACGACCGTAGGGAGTGCTGCATTTAGTGCGAATGCGGGAAAATTCTTTCCGAAAGAGTTAGGTACAATATTTTTTGTAACGAATTGCGTAAAAAAAGGTCAAAATTAATAAAGTTTTGTAAATTAGCTTTTTTTTAATCATGAGTTGGTAACACAATCATATGTTTGGTTGGTAACATAATTTTGTAACTACCCACTTTTAATAATGCACTGGTCACATTTAAAACTTCCACATCTTTGGTTAATACATATTTTGCCTTTGCAATGAGTGCTACTATTGGTCACGGCATTGCATCGTTTGCACTGAATATCTTGAGTTGCGTAAATACACTCGTTACATTTAAAATCCTTGGAAGCTTTGTGTGTGTTAATATGTGCTTTCTTAAACTGCGTATGCGAATAGTTGCAGAATATCACTGGTCACATTTTAAGACGTTTTAACAATAAATCTTACTTTTTCTTGAGTTCCAATTCTGAAAAATAATTTGATTGCGTTATAAGTTCTTATTTATATATTTACGTAAAACTTAGTGTACGTCTGTTTCCGATTAATCGCACTAAATACCCTCAACCAACGGTTTAATTGATTTTACAGCAGATGACAGTTAACCATGGCATGACGTTCGTTGACTTCAATAAGTACTACCAACCGAAGAACGCACATAACCCCTTCTCTCCAGCGGAAACTAAAAAACACCGCGATGCGGGAAAGTCGTTTTCCCGTGCATCGAGGATGCTTGGAAACATTATCTTTCCATTCAATGAGTACAAAAAAAGTTTTCCAGTGCGCTCGCACGGGAAAACCCAACTTTCGGTGCGCTTGGGGTACATGAAAAGACAATACTTTCGGAGAGGTATAATGAAAAAGTTATAAGACTATGCGCTTGGAAAAACAATTTCGTTTCAGCGTGTGACGTCACTTGACCTATTCGCATACGATGCCTATTGGTTCGCATAGTACGTGTACGGTTGGTTATT